TGTTTAAACACTCTGATTTCAAAAATTATCGTATTTGAAAATTTGTGTGATAAATGTGACCCTGGAAAAGCTCCAAGGCTCTCAGCTTGTATTGACTTCTACTCAGTGGTCTACCTATAATACAGATGAAAATGTCTTTTGGTTTTGATTTGACTGCTAACCAGGAATGGCTTATCTCATTACTCCTGTCTCAAAAACTGGTAACCCTTGTACTTATATGAATTTGGCTCTGGCCCTCATCAATGTAGTTGACGTGGCTGTGTAAGTGTGGTGGCTTTTGTTAAGAGGAAGCAAAGGCAGAGAATGCTTTTTAAATAACTTGATTATAAGTAAGCAATAGGTATCAAACATTTATCAAAACTCACACAGTTGGTTCTTAGGTGAATAACCTGAGAGGTCAATTGTTACAGATGCTATTGTGGCTAATGATTAGTGCCTACTTGCAAGGAATGTTTAGTAAGCAGAAGTTTACACTATAATCCAACAGAAAATTAGTAGAAAATGGACATTATTCCAAAGATTTTATCACAGGGGATGTTTCTCTGGGCAAGGAAAAGGGGTATGTTTGAAAATGAACATGAAGATTACATATATGGATTGATGAAATTACTCTGTTGGGAGTTTGTTCATTCTTTCTGTTACATTTTTTCTTTCTGTTTAATTTAGGGAATCTGGCTGAGAAGAGAAATCCATAAATGAGACGAATGTAAAAACAAATGATGACATCAGTAAAGCTTATTGTGAGGAAATCATGAATGAGGTACCAAGAGGGAACTCAAAGGTCACCTCAAGAAGTTTATTACTTATGTTTTAACGTGATTGTACATATATAACCTATATCAAATTGCTTACCGTCTTAGAGAGAGAAGAGGGGAGGGAGGGAGGAGGAAAATTTGAAAACAAAATTTTATAAAAAATGAATGTTAAAAATTGTCTTTTCATGTAATTGGAAAAAATAAAATGCTATTTAAAAGAAAAAGAAGTTTATTACTTTCTGACAGGCAAGTGTATTGCGCCCCCCAGGCCCTTCAGTTGCTCAGGGAAGCTAGACCTGTGGCACAGACATACAGTGGAATGTGTACCCCAGGTGAGAGCTCATGACTTTGGATTTCTGAGTCCTTATATCTGATTGCTGTTGCCAGTCAAGTTCTTTTGCTGGAAATAAGTGAGAGGGGTACCGGTAATCAGCAGGTGTCCCAACTTTGATACCCCTTACTAACCACAAGGATATTGTTATCAGAACATCTTCGCATACATGTTATATACCTGCCTAAGTGAAGTTTGCTAACCTAGTTATTGGGTACATAGAAACTTGAAATCAGTGGTCAAACAAAGAGTCCCTTCTGTTCAGTCAGAGCCTAGTAATATGTCAATGATTACCCTTTTAATTTTTAAACTAACTTGTTTCACTTAAAATAACCCCTTATTTGTTTTTGTTTCAAAAACAAAATGTGACCTTCGCACTTTTCCTGTGTACATTTTGTTGGGAAAGCTGTTTTGATTCGCTCTATGAATTAAAACCTTTACAAATAGCGTTGCTGACTGTTATATTATAACTAATAGGAATTGCAACTTTTCCTCATGACCAAAATTTCTAATACCTACACTGCAGACATTTATCTTTGTGAGGACTTTGAAAAAAAAAAAAGAAGTCACCCAACCTTTGCCTATTTTTTGAATCTTATCTGTGCAGTAAGTGTTTACAATCTGGTCAAATAAATCCTTACAGTGACTGAAAAATAAGACAAACAAGCAAAAACCAAACAAACCAAGTTTAAAAGATACGAGGGCGACTGAAGACATGTTCTCTCCCATCTTCCTAGGTGAACACCTGGCATACACACCTTTATTTTATCGTTGTTTGGGTAAATATTTACTTACTTTAGCTGTCATCCCAGCGTATTTTCAGGGTGCTGGGCTAGGTTGTGAAAGGTCCAATTATGCCATTTACATTTTAGAAGTCAACATTTCATTCAACAAGCATTTATTAAGTGCCTATCATGTGTAAGACACTGTGAGCGCTGGAGATAAAAAGACAGTAAATTACAGGAAATCCCTGCCCTCAAGGAGCTCATATTTTACCGGGTGATACGACATACACAGTTAACAAACCCAGGGAGTTGACTGGGGACTGAGTGTGTGTAAACTGTCACACACAACCCAGTATATATATAGTTCCACCCCTTTCTACTTTCCCAAAACAAAATATCCCTCCCTAGTCACCATTCCTCTATATGTGCCCCCCCCCACCCCGAACATCTATGTCCCCAGTGCTTAACACCGGGCTTGGTACATAATAGCACTTAAATAATTTTTTTTTATTCTTTCATTCTACTGGGAGACACAAACCTATAAGCAGATAAGCAAGACAGTTCAAGTAACACTTTTTAGTTATATGAAACTTTTCCTGATTCTGCCATCTCCTAGCACCCTCCCTTCTACAATTACTTTGTAGTTATATTGTATATATTACAAACATGCTTTGCATATGTATATGCTGTTGCTTCCAATAGAATGTAAGCTCAAGAACTTAGAGACACTTACAAGCTGTGTGACTTTAGGCAAGTCACTTCACCTCTGTTTGTCTCAGTTTCCCAATCTGTAAAAAAGGGAATAATAACACCTAGCTCCCAGGATTGTTGTGAGGATCAAATGAGATATTTGTAAAGTGCTTATCACAGTGCCTGGGACACAGTAGGTGCTATGTAAATGTTAGGTATTGTGAGGACAGAGTTTGTCTTATTTTTGTCTTGTATCCCCAGAACCTAGCACAGGACCTAATGCACAGTAGGTGCTTAATAAATGCCTTGGAGTCAGAAGGATCTGAGTTCAAATCCGGCCTCAGACACATAACACTTACTAGCTGTTGTGTGTCCCTGGGCAAGTCACTTAACCCCATTGCTTAACCAAAATAAATAAATAAATAAATGCTTGTTAATTGATTGAAACAAATACAAAAATCTTTAAAAAGTAATGGGAATGGGGAAGGACGCTTAGGGGAGTGTCCCCTAAGATTCAGTCCTGAGCCTTCTTTTCTTCTCCCTCTGTTCCGTCTCACTTGGTGATCTCATCAGCTCCCATGGTTTTAATCATCGTTAGGAACACAATTCTCAGATCCATATATCTAGACCTAGCTCTGCTCCTACATTCCAGTCTTGTAAATCCAACGACCTCTTAGAGGCCTTCAGTTGAATGTCCTGTCATATATCAAGCTCAACAAGCTCCAAAATAGAAATCATTATCTTTCCCCTAGAAACTCTCCTCTCTTCCCAACTTCACTGTCAAGTACCCCGCCATCTTTCCCATCACTCAGGCTAGAAATCTTGATGTCATCCGTAACTCCTCACTTGCCCTCATCCCACATAAACATTCTGTTGTCAAATCATGGTTTTGGTGGTGGGGTTTTTTTTTTAGCCTCCAAATATGTCTTGCATATGTCCTGTCTCTCCACTCCTCCAGTTGCTGCCCTGATACACCTAGGCCCTTTTCTCTTCAAGATGGGTCTTTTGCGGTAGCTTTCCCATTGGTCTCCCTGCCTCCAATCTCTCCGCACTCCAAAACATCCTCCTCTATTCACAAAGCTGCCTTCTCCCTGCTCATTAAACAGCAGTGGCTTCCTACTACCTCTAGGATCAAACATAAAATCCTGTTGGACTTTTAAAGCCTTTCACAACCTCACCCCATTCCTATCTTCCAGTGTTCTCACAATTTGCTCTTTCCATGTGACTCTCTAGTCTTACTGCTCTTCCTCACACGTGACACTCGTCTCCTGACTCAGTGCCTTTTCACTGACCGTTCACCATGCCTGTAATGCTCTCCCACCTCACCTTCACCTCCTGATTTCCCTCCTTTCCTTCCAGACTCAGTTCAAATAGCACTTTCTGCAGGAGATATCACCGTCTGTCCCCCCCCCCCCCCCCACCCTTAAGCTACTAGTTCCTTCCCTCTGAAATTGCTTTCCTTTTACTCTGTGAATAATTTGTATGTAAATAATTGCTTCCATGTTGTTTCCTCCATTGTCCTCATCATCCAGTAAGATCTGTTGAGGCTCAGCAATTCCACTTCATTGCTACCCTCAGCCTCTCAAATTGGAAGGTGGGACCATGAACTCCAAACCTCTGTTTAAGGAGGAGGCTCAGCTTAGACATGTCCAAATTTTTCACCTGGCTGCAGTACTTTGGGACTGCTCTGACTGACTTCTCTACCATGTCCCCAGATTTGATACTCCCTACCCCTATTTTCAGCTTCCTTTTGCATATTGTAGATTAGATTATAAATTCCTTGAGGGCAAAGACTTCTTTTTCCCCCTGTATTTGTATACCCCGGCTTCGCACAGGCCTAGCACGTAATAAGTGCCTAATAATACTTACTGACTATATTTATTAACTATTGGAATGTGAGATCCTTGAAGGCAGGGAACATGTTTTGCCTTTCTTTTTATCCCCACTGTTTAGGACAGTGCCCGCACAAAGTAAGTGCTTAATAAATGTTTGTTGTGGACTACTTTATTTTTTTTTTTTAACGCAAGTGAATTAAAATGGAAATTAGTTTCACATACAATCCTCTTTTTGTGTTCTTTTGTGCCTATGGAAATGCTTTTTAATGTTTAAGTTCAGAATTTTAAAAATTGACTTAAAAATACAATGAATTTAAGCATCATTTCTTACCCATTTTCTGTGGTCTATTTTGCTGACCACCATAACCTTCCATCCCTCAGCCCTTTTGGTATGGGGTAAAAGGGGTTCTGTAGCTTGAGGAATAAAAGAAGTATGGCTGATCCAAGTTAACCATGGAATCCTTTTATTGTGGCAGTCATTTTCAAGGATAAAATATGTTTTCTTAATTTTTTTAACGTTTCCCTTGGGAAAACCAGAAGGTCAAGTTGAAGAACAACAATAGTTTATTTCCCTGGCATAGAAAAGGTTAAGAAACTGATATTTAACTTACCACCTCCCTCTAGTTGTCCCTCCTACCTACCAGTACCACCCCCGCTCCCAGGCTGTTTTACACAAAGCTCAGACATGCCAGCAAATTTGGAAATCCAAGCCTTAGCTCTCCCCTTCTGCACCATGAACTTTACTGCCAATGATCACCGAATACCTTTGAATGATGGAAATAGCATTCCCATCATTGGGCTCGGTACCTTTTCCGAAAAAGTAAGATGATTTCTTTTTTTTCCTACTGTGTCATTATTATAGCAACTTTGTTTTGAGACATACTTGTATAAACTTTATTTTGAGCAGATTGGACAGTCATAGCTTGCTCTGCATAAGCCTAATTTCAAAGGACTGTTATTCTTTTCTGTGGGTACTAAGAAAAGGGTTGAGTATTTACCCTAAAGAATATCACTGATATTCCTTTAAATGCTAATGAATATTTTACATAAAGAATTGTATCTTTCTATTGACCTCTTTTTGTTGATCCAGTAGGCCAGAAATTCTGAGTGTAGAAATCCACAAACCCTTTCAGGGGGTTCCATGAGGTCAAAACTATTTTTATGATAACACTGACATTATTTGTCTGTTAAGATGCTCCTTCCTTTTCCAACTACTTATCTGTGTGAAGCCAGATTTCCTTTCTATATGCTTCAACCAAAATAACATATTGCAACAAATTGAATGTAAAAACAAATATGAGAATTCAAATGTCTTCTATTAAGCCAGACATTAAAGAGATTTGCAAAAATAACAATAACAACATAACAAAACAATGCTATTCTTACTAATGTTTTGTTTTGAAAAATATAGATATTTTTCATTTTAAAATGTTATTTGTAATAATATTTAATGGCTTTATCATTTTAAATGAATAAACAAATATTGAAAAAATATTATCAGTTTTAATTTCTAATATGATAAACATTGATAGATATAATCCACATAAACAAAAGCTCTTTGGTCTCTTCCATAATTTTTAAGAGGTCTTGAGATCAAAATACTTGAGAAGCACTGCAGTAGGTCAATATAGAAATGTTCTTTGGATTTGTGAGCCATATGTCATAGATTTAGAGCTGAAGGAAACTTAGATCATCTCATTCAACCCCTTCATTTTACAAATGAGGAAACTAAGTCCCAGAGAGGTTACTTGACTTCCCAACCACACTTGGATAGTAAGTGGAAGAGCTGAGATTTGAACCCCAAGGACTTTGATTCCAAATTCAGTGCTCTTTCCCCTGTAACACAGGTTGAGGTCATTGTTCTCTTATGTGAATTATTTTTGAACTTAGAATGAGTAAAAGGTTCAAGGATGGTTAGCCATCTGCATGGGCTTCCACTTTTATTTGTTATTCATTACTCTGGGATGTGGTTATGATATATGGTAGGAAGTCACTATTGGTTTCTCTGTATTTAAATTTTAGAGGCTAATGAATCTGAGGAGAGATTATGAAACAGAATGTATGCATGTGTGTGTGTGTGTGTGTGTGTGTGTGTGTGTGTGTGTGTGTGTGTAGGGAAAGAGAGAGACAGAGAGACAGAGACAGAGAGAGAAAAAGAGAGAGAGAGAGACATCTCTAGCTGGCTGTGTATATGAGAATGAATCAGTGTGTGACTACTTCTCTGCTGACCTAGCCACCTAGTGGACAGCCAAGTCAGCCTAGCTTATCAACAAGGGACCACAAAGGAGAGAAAAGTAGCATGTGTCAGGCAAATCAAATCACTGTCATACCTCAACTACCACTTCTCTTCAGACTCCTACTGGAGGTAGCCTAGGACCATCAGCCCAAATGCTCTGGGATGAAGTCAGTCAATAAGTATTTATTAAACACCTACTATGTGCCAGGCTAAATACTGGGGACACAAAGAAAAGCACAAACAGTCCCTGTTTTCAAGGAGCTCACAATATAAAGGAACTTTGTACAAACAGTCTCTCGATAGATAAAAGGATATAATCCACAAGGGAATGATTAGAACAGGCCTTCTGGAAAAACTTGCATCTGCTTATGCAAAGTGAAATGTACTGTGTACAAAGTAATAGCAATACTGTAAGATGATCAGCTGTGAATGACAGTACTTTCAGCAATCCAACGATCTAAGACAACTCTGAAGGACTTATTATGAAAATCCTCTCCATTCCCAAATAAAGAACTGATGGAGTCTGAATATAGATTAAAGCATCCTTTTTTTTTTTTACTTTATTTTTCTTCAGTTTTTTTTCTTGTCTATGTTTTCTTTCACAACATGGCTATTATGGATATGTTTTGCATGACTACTCATGAATAACCTATATTGAATTGCTTGCCTTCTCAGTGAGGGTGGAGAGGGAGGAAGGGAGAGAATTTGGAACTCAAAGTTCTAAAAACGCATGTTAAAAATTGTTTTTACATGTAACTGGGGGAAAATAAAATACTAAATATTGGGGTGGGATTTATGCTGGGACTTGAAAGAAGCCTGGGACTGCCTGCTCCATCCCAGACCACTGGTCCTGCTTCCAGCTGGGCCTCTACAGCCATCATGCAGTGAAGTGGGCCTTGAAGAGATGCCTTCTGGCAACTGTTTCTACAGGTACGAACAATAGCCTTTTTCTCCTCAGCAACCCCAGCTATTCAAGAACCCAAAAAGAACCACCAAAATCCTTAGCACCATCAAAGGGCTCAATGTCAGAATGGATATGGTTCTGTCAGTGGAAATGACATTAAAGATGCATTCCAATCTGCTTTACTGCTGTACTCCAAAACCCATGGATCTTTCCATCTGACTTTCAGGCAGCTGAAATCCATATATGTTATTGTCCCTATTGAATATAAGCTCCTTGAGAGCAGGGCTTGTCTCTGCTTTTCCATTTTTATCTATAATGTTTGCACATAGTAAGCACAATAAAAGCTTATTCATTCATTAATTTGAATGTGTGTACCATAGTCCATGTGATTATGATTCTTGTGAGAAATACATGCATAAATCTCTTGGGAACCTTTAAGATGATATATATGGCAAGGGCTATCTCCCACATGTAGCATAGGAGTGTCATGTGACTTGAAGGGAGGTAGAATGGATATCTCTAGCCTCTTCTCCTCTCACCTTTCTCCAAAAGAGACTAGGAGAGTAAGCAGGAAGTTGGGGCCAGATGGGGCCCTTCTAAGAGAGCAGGGGTGCCAGGCTAGTATATCTACCTGCTCTCTTACATATTACTTGTCTTGGGATGAGGTTTTCAGGTTCAATCTAAATTCTGATCCTGTTTCATTAATTGAGGAGAAGCAGGACCCCAAGCTTGAACCCTTCACCACCAAATATCAGTTCCACAATGAACCCACACAGTACTTACCAAAGAAATCCATTTATCCAATTTGATAGCAAAACAGAATTTGGAGAAAGTAAACAAGAAGATATATATCAGACAATAAAGAGTGAAGCAGCTGTCCCATTGAAAGTGGAGTAACTGCTCAACTAAGAGAAAGTCCTAGGTGTCTCTCAAGAGGAAGTTCCCCAAAGTCTCTAGTGTAGGCAAGCTGGGGATAGGGACAGGACAGAGACTACCAGCTTCTTCCCAGAATCTTTTCCTTCAGCAACCTCAAGTGTAATTGTCATCATCTATCTTCTCTCCCAAAGCTGGAAGCCAGAAGCTCCCAAAGCAGCTGCAGAGCCCCAAGAGACTGAAGAACTGGAGGAACACTTGAGGAAAATTCCAAGGGAGGGAGGATAGATAGGCTCCCACCAATTCTTTCCTGCCCCTCAGACAGGCAAGGGGCATTGATTTCCATCAATAAGGAGAAAGTCCAGTGCCAGTGGATCTTGGCACTGTGGTTACTAGCTGTCGTTGGTACTGGTGAGCATTTTTTTTTTGGTCCATATCTATGATTTAAATGGAAATAACCTCTACTGACATGGACTAGCAACTGAGCTCCCACAGCTCTAGAGAGATGCCTGGAACACTGACAGTCAGCCTAGTGGACAGAAGCCTCCCCTAGAGTAAGAAAAATCTGAATTTAGGTCCTGTCTCTGCCAGATATTGACTGGATGGCCACATAGGAGCATATGGAGAATACATTTGTGACCGTGTGTGAGCATATTGCTGATGTCCCATTCCAATGTGACTGCAGTTCTCTGTGGTTATATTAGTGCATCAAAGAAGATTGCAGGCCTGGTTGTATGTGAGCATATCTAGGAAAAAGTGCATCTGACTTGTATCTGTGAATATTCAGTTCTTTGAGACTTAGGAAGAAAGGAAACTAGCCCTTATTAAGTTCCCACTATGTTCCAGGCACATGCTAAGTGCTTTATAAATGTTTTCTCATTTGATCCTCACAACCACCCTGGAAGGGAGGTGCTATTATTATCTCTATTTATAGCTGAGGAAAGTTGGGCAAATAGAGGTTAAGTGACTTGCCCAAGGTCACCCATCTAGTAAGTATCTAAGGCCAGATTAGAACTAAAGTCTTCCTGACCCCAGGCTCAATACTCTACTTACCGAACTACTTAGGATTTTTTGGTGTGTTTTCAGTAGAGGCATGTGATAGAGAACTGATCTTGGAAACAGGTGGACCTTATATGGCAGAAGAATTCTGGCTCTAGAATCTTCCGGTTTACCGCCTGTGTAACCTCAGGCAAATTACTTCACCTTCTTTGCCCTCATCTCCTCATCTATAAAACAAGGGGTGGACCTCTGACTTCCCTTCCAGACCTAGAGCTCTGATCATATTACCTAGAATCTGAGTTTTCTAGTTCGGTGACCTCAGACGAGCTCCTTACTCTAAACAAATCATTTAACCTCTACCAGCTTCCAGTAACTCCCTAGGCATTCTCTAGAACTAAGTAGTTGCTTTTTGCCTGTGGAAGAGTAGAGGGAAATTCCCTACCTGAAATCAAATAACCTTCACTTAATTAAAACCTTTCTGGTAGAAAGTAGAGATACAAAAGAAATTCATGCTTCCAACTTACAAGGAGTTGACATTCTAATTAGGCACTAAGACATAAAAGGTTTATAGAATCTTACTGTATAATTTGTTGATGAAGAAAATGCATTCCAACACCTCTCTTTGCTTTTAGAAATGGTTAACAAAGGTAGAAACAGCATAGGAAGTGGATACGGCATTTTGGATGTGAGAAAGGAGGTTTTCCTTTTTCTTTTCTTTTTTTTTTAAACTACATCAAATTGCACTGACTGCCAGAAAATAGAAAACACTGGAAATGTGGAGACAGAATTTAAATGGGAAGAGGGAGCC